TTCCACACAACTCCAATTGTTTAGTGAGTCATTTTACCTTACAAGTGTAATCACATGGATGATTAGCAGTTATGTGTAAAGAGGTGATTCTACCATGTGAAAGTGATTTTAGGCAAGAGATACATGGCGGTAACTGCCATGTATTTGTTGGTAGAGTCATATTTCAATTACTGTTAAAGCCAAATTCTCGTGAGTATAAAATTGTAAGATGCCACCAGGGATCTCAAGTTTGGATCTATCACATGACAACCACACTGTGACCCGTACAGCAGTGAATAGATTCAGCTGATAACATTTTGTTGCAAAAAGAGTCAACACTGTGCAGTTACCATAATAATAACATACATGAAAAAATTACTCAGTTCTGATTGGTTAAGATAAATGCAGTTTTCAGGTAATATAATGCAGAAGAGGGTTAATCCAGTGCAAAGAAAGTTACAAACCAGACATTCTGATTGGTCAATAATCAAAGAAATTCACAGATAGCAAATCAAATGCGAGCCTTGGATGCCACAACATTTCGCTACGCTGAAAATTTGCGAGTGAAACAATGGCTGGCGTTTTAAGTAGGTTTTCTTTCGCCACTGTAACACCAATACAACAGCTGAAGAACAGCTCTTACAACGAAAACACAATAAAAAGCACTGCTTTTTGGTTGTTGGTTTGGTTAGTCCTGATACTTTTAAATAAGCTTCTAATTTTATGTTTTAAACTACAAACGTTCGACATCAAGAATTCAATTCAACAAATCCTCAAGCAATAATAATTAATAAAGAGGCAGCTACAAATCAAAGATGAGACGTATTACTGCACTTCAGCTTGCAATACAATCATATTTCAGAGTCGACACTCAGAAAATGGGCGCATGACCTACCGTGAGGACACTCTGGGGCTAACTCGGGATTTTCTTTGGACAAAAAAACTTCAACTCCATATCTCTTCGCTTTTAGGTGCTGGTCGTCCATGATGATCCGGCTTGTGCTCTAAACGAAGACAGTAGAAGTCCATAATTTTGTGGTCAGCGGTTAACAACGGAAGGCAATTCAAAGTATCACGGCACATCCTAATCTCAGTCTTGATGTTGTAGTTTCTACGAGCGTGGACGGGATAATTTTTAGTGTTTGTTCTTTGAATAGCCAACAACTCAAATCGCACCATAACTTTGAATATCTATATGATGTTTTAAAACGGTTTTAATTTTTTCTAGACCTTGGTTCCAGTCCTTTATACGCGATCTTAGCTCAAAGACCGACAGATTTAACGACCTTTCGTTGTAATTCTTCGCGATCCAATCCGACTCGCGTATAGCTCCTTACTTGTAAGGGAATATTTTCCCAGTCCTGATTATTAAGGGACGAGCTAAAAAGACAATGGGGGACGTCTGGGTAGAAGTGTAAATCAAACCTGAAACTAATGCATACCGTATTTATTCGGCTATAAGCCGAGACCCCAAACTTTTTACGTGTAGACTTGGCACAACGAAAACCAAAGAATAAATCGAAAACACCCGGCTATAAGCCAAGGCCCATTCATTATTACAAGACTGAACTGTCAACTTCGGGAAAACCTAACATTTTCTGAAAAAAATCACATTAATTGTCATAAACGAGGCTTAGACGATGATGATTTATGGTGATTTAATATGCAAAGGACAAAAAAGCTAACTATTCAATTGAAAAGCAACAAAACAAAACTCAGATGAATTAATGTGATCCAAAAATAAATTTAAGACTACCTGTGTCCTTAAACGGCATCACCAGTACCTACACATCCGTAGTAAGTGGTCATTGTGCCCAAGGCTCGTCGCACGTCATACAACCTCGCATTTAAAATTAAAAAAGTCACCGAAGCAGAAGCTGTTGAAAATAACTCTGAAATGGCATCAGTGAGTGTATGGTCCGTCGCTGGAGGAAGGATCAAGCGAACCTTTTCAGCGGTGAGGTTAAATTGTCAGCGCAACGGAAGAAGATGGGATGCTTCACGCCGAGGTGAGAAAAATCTTAAAGGAACAACTAAATATAATGGTCTTGACTTAACTCTTAGGGTTAACACGCTGTAGTTCTTATTTGATCTGGTAAATGTTAGCAGAGTGAGGACTTAAGATAATGCTTAGGGACTACTAACAATTCCTTGTTGGCAGAGCGGGGTGTTCCCCTAAGCATATGTTTGATTAGAGAGTCTGTTAGATGTTTAGGTCCAATTTCATAATTTGCTATAAAAGTTAAAATTAAAATCTTGAACTCAATCCTGTACTTGTCAGACAACCAATGTGGTTCTTTTAAAAACAAGGAAAAGTGGTCGTATTTCTTTTGAAGAGAAGGAACGAAACATATTTTACATATTGGAGTATTAAGGGAGAACAGTTACTTAAGAAGAGTTGTAGTAGCTACAGTAGTTAGAGACCAGTATGAATGCGTGGAAATCAAAGAATTGAATGCTCTTTTTAAAGATTCTTCTAGTTAAATCACTTGGGTCGTCGTTACTTTTGTACTCACTATCAAAACTTACTGCACTGTTGGATCCTACGCCGGGAAAAATTTTCAGTTTTCTTTGTAATATAAGAGAATGTCTACGTACGTCAGAATTAAAAAAACGGGAGCTATCCGTATACCTAGGGTAGATTTTGAGATGAAATCTTTCATCATGGTTGGCTGGCACAACTTTTTAATTTAGCGAAGAAAATTGGGAATCGTTATCTTTCTATTTTTTTTTTTCACAGAGGCATAACAGCCTAAACTTTCTTTAAGGATGTTAATACGATTTAAAGAATCGTATCAAAACTTCCAGTTTTTCCATGGAAATACACTGCCTTTCTTCAGCCAGATTAAATGCCAATTCTGAAAATATGCAGATGAAAAGGCCATTGTTCTGTTCAGCAAAAAAGAAGTCTCAGTCATTCGACAACCATTCTCTGACAGGATCAATGGAAAACACCACAAAAATTCCCAATTTACGGTTTGGTCTGGAGCCACACCTGGATAGAACATTAGCGCCGGACTTTTTTGGGTCTTAAAGACTGAAAAAAACCGTTATCCTTGAGGACTGAGCCAAACCCTTCAAGATCATGTAGATGGAGAGATCTTCGTCATGGAAATTAGTGAAAGGAAAGCCTTCTTTAAACCAGCGAACGAAATCTCCAAACACAGACTAAGTTAAAAATTGAAGTTTAATTACTTTAGATGGTTCAACTCATAAACAACTTACAACGTATAAATTTTCAAAGGTTTCAGTATCTCATCATTCCACCTCCCGATATTAGATGTATGAAAAATGCAAATATCTGCAACTCAAAAAATCAATAAAATTATATGATCAACTTAAAAGTTCTTGCTAAACATTGCACATGAGTGGCCATGGTAGGGAAGAAGAGTGTATGGAGAATATATATTTTCGAACCTTTTTGAATAAGGAATTAGATTCTTATCTAGAAGTTTTCTTCAGTGGCTAATGAACTTGGCCTTGATCTGCTGTAAAATTTTTCTAATTTCGAGTGCTCGGAGTTTTTTTCAGGTAAAGCACTGGTTCCTCAGGCACTTAGATGGCATCCCATATAATGGTCGTGTTTATTAATCATCATTTATTGGAGTAGTAACGAGAACTTGTTTCACCAGGGTTGTAATCAAGTTGTTGTCTTCTCTTACTTCGGCCTCATAAGACTCATACGATTTGAAGGAAAGCCTCGTGACCTCTTTTTCGACCAACAAACAATATTATAATAGACGGTGGCATTTTTAAGACGAAATCATGCATAATTAATTCACAAAACGAGTTTTAGAAGTCTTCTTGTAAAGGAAATACCAACCATATAGCTGGAACTTCCAGCAGGCGACCACCTCTCACTTTTAATGAGTTGTGGTCGGATTATGTCACTAATTAAGTTGAAATGTGATTGACTTCTTATAAAACTCTTTATTGGAAGTAAGGTGATGGCATCTTACACATCAACTCACGTGAATAACCGCCAATTAAGACTGATTTTGGCCGTGGAGATATTAATTATGACACTTTCAAAGGCCAATGAGGAGGAATGAAGACAAGATAAGAAAGTTTAATGCATTCCGTTATTATATAATTATTTGGATCGAAATCTTACTTGCACATGAGATTCTCATTTGTCCAAAATTATTTTTTACTCCATTACAAATAATTCATATGCCATCGGTATGGTAATAAGTCGAATAACATGTGGCAGAGGAACGCGCGTCCGGCAAAGCTAATAATGTCAATAATCAGGGCCTGCTCGCAGGCAAATCCACCATGTTTCATATCTATTAAAGGGGTATTCAAACTCTTGTGACTCTTTGTTTACTCTGTGTATTAAGACGTTGTCAAATTAAAGTCTAAGCAGTCGAAGTCACACCAGACAGGTCTGCCCGAAAAACAAACAAACTGACAAACGAGATCAAACAAAAAATAGCGGGGTACGAACCGTTTTGTCGATCGTTATTGCCAACAAACCATTGGGCTGCAAGCCGACCGAGGCACAAGCAGCGAATTAAACCCGTGAGATTCTAGCCGGCGAGAGGACTTTGAGTGGTTTGTGTGTCAAAACCCCTGCGAAACTCGAGCTTTCACGTCGCTCGCCGGCTCAAAACGCGTGGGTGTCTCCCGTGTCATAGCATCAAAGAGAGTGTGCTCGTAAGCTGAGAAACCATCGAGTTTTTTTAAGATTAAAATCTTGAGGTCAATTTGAGAAACAAACCAAAATGCAAAATGATTTCAAGCTTTTTAAGAACTTAAGATCGAGACTAATCTTTCGAGTTGCGAGTTGACAGTTGTTTTTTCAAACATGATGAATAGAGGAGTTTTAAAGGTGTGACAGTGACAACATGGTGTAATTTGAGTCTTTAAAAGGACAAATCCAATACTGTTTTAATTCTTTTGTGTATGATAGCATTAACTTCACTACTTTTTTTCTGTACCGAAACCTAGGCCGAGAAAAGAGTCATCACGCGAAAAACGCGCGTGGAAGGTTATAGATGTATCATTAACTATTGTGACGTCAGACCAATTTACTTAGATGAGTGCATCATTTAGAAAGACACTTTGGCGGAAATATTGACATGGATTGGACTAAAAAACCATTCAGCTCTGAAAACCAATAACTAATGTCAAGCAATGAAGCTGTTGGCGCATTAAAATGAGAGCAGGTGCAAGTCATCGACAAAAGAAAATTCGTTATGGCGAGCGACAAACCGTTGAGCAATGAACTTGTTGAGAAATATCTGGATGATCATCAAGATTTTGCTAAGAGCTACTTTGAGCGAAAGGCAACTTCCTCTATGGTCGATCACTGGATGAGCAGTAGATCGCACAGACCTGGCTCACGGGCTATGCAAGTGAACCATCTTCAGAGAGACAGCATCAAACCTCAGCTAATTCTCAAAACAGATGGCGAATTCGAGAATGACAAGCTGAACTTAATATTTAGATCGGCTCGCGATGAACGGAAACGTTCTTCACCTCGACATAAATCCAACCTCGGAGATTTGGATGAAAGAGAATTGTTTATGGAACTGATAAGAGACATTGCAAACGAGTTAGACATAAATATGCTGAGCCACAAAATCCTTGTTAACGTTAGTATATTGACAAACGCTGATCGCTGCTCGCTTTTTCTTGTACGAGGTTCGCGTGGAAATAAAGTTCTGGTATCTAAGCTTTTCGACGTGACATCTGAATCCACGGTCGATGAGTCATTACGATTGGAGAAGGACGAAATTTGCGTTCCCTTAGGAGTTGGTATTGCGGGACATACGGCTGCTACGGGCGAAACTATCAACATTAATGACGCATATTCGGTAAGTTCACGAAAGCTTTATTTTTAAAATTGTTTTAATCGCAATAAATTTGGTGGAGAAATAGAATATTGAAATAAAACGATTGCTTGTTTCCCCCCATGGTTCACCAGGGAAACACTTTTACAACAACTTGTACTTGTTATCAATTTCTAGAAGAGCTCTGACCAACTTTTATGGAAATACTGTTTTTCGAATGAGTAAACAAAGCTAGTTAAAATCAACAAACGCTTCTTCTTGCACTGCTGTGACGAAAAGTATACTTATTGTTTCAGAAACAGTTTTTGAAGTAATGAAATTTGATACGTAAATGTTCCTACACAGCGATACTGTTGATGAAACCATACATTCGTAAAACTCCAGCTATAGTGAGCATTTTGCTTTGGAGCAGTACTACTTATATACCTCTCAGATGTCGCAGAGAAAAAACAGATTTATTCATTGTTATTATCCTTTTAGGCTGCTCTCCCAAGCAGCATCGTGAGAGATAATTTCAGAATAACCAGGGGTGTCCAACGGCACACAATTGGCACAATGAGGCGCTAAAGTCTTAATTAAAACTCTTTGTTGGATGTGAGGTGATAACACCCCCAAGAGTTAGACTTGGTCTTACACATCAACTCACGTGAATAACCGCCAATTAAGACTGATTTTGACCGTGATGATATTACTTAAGACACTTTCAAAGGTCAATGAGGAGGAATGAAGACAAGATAAGAAAGTTTAATGCATTCCGTTGCACATGAGATTCTCATTTGTTCAAATTATTTTTTACTCCATTACAAATATTTCATATGTCATTGGTATGATAATAGTGATCTCCTAATAAAGTCTTTATTTTAACTAATTTTTACATAAATGATTTATTCGCTGTAGAAACTATTGTTCTATCACCGTTACCGCATCATACCGCCTAAGAGAAAAATGATAAACTTTTATCAAATTCCTAAATAGCCTTCCCCAAAAATTTCCTACCGATTGGTTCACGGTCTCTCCCATTCACGGTGTTGACTTGCAACGATCGCTAACGAGAACAAACGATTATTTTTCCCATACACATACACATTTCGACTTATTCATTTTGTCGGCAATTAACTCTAGTCTGTCAGAATATTCACCGCAACTGATTCCGACATCGAAGTGAAAACTCCCTTCATACATTCATGACAACTAAATAGGCAGAGAGGGCCACAGCCGGTGGAATAAGGAAATATAACATAATGATGTTCAAAATATTTGATTCTTATAATTAATCTCCGCACTGGCTGACAAATCTCACTTTTTGTTTCGTATGAACCAATTAGCTGTGACACTTGTTTCTATCTCGCTCTGATCGTTTTGCTTAACCTTCGCATTATTTTAAAGGATTCTAAACCATGTCGATAATTCTAGTAACGAATAAAATACTGTAATTCCAGTTTAAGGAAATTCATTTGTCTCTTAATGGGAGCTGATAAGTAGGATTAACTTACCTCTCAGACCTTTCACGAGAACTCTTCATAGATAAATACCGTATAAAGAATGTGAAACCTGTTATTTGAACCAACGTTAAATGATTTGTACACGAAATCGCCGCTTTCATTCGTTAAGTAAGAGAGTTTGATGTGTTCTTGAAGAAAACCTTTTCTTGGTATGGCACCATCCCAAGAAAATGCGTTTGTATGCATTTTGCTTTTGAATAAGAGACTGATCCCAGTTACTGCTCTTGTTACGAAAACCAAAGCAGTAAGAGGTAATATTTTTTTTCAATACAAGGATGACGAAAAGTTAGATTTCCGAGAAGACGCCGTTACTACATATCCATGAATATTGTACAGTACTGCTCAGTCGTGGAAAAGGTTATTTAAGTTACCTTGCAACTACCTCAAAATGAACACCTAGACTATTTCTTATTCGAGACAAGGATGCTGTCAGTTTTTAAGGTGAATTTTTTGTAGCACTCACACACAAGTAGTTTCTTGTAGATTCTCGCGCGCGCAATGTAAAGCTTGTCTATTAAGTCAAAACACTATTAATGTGACATCTCTAGCGAAAACGTTCGATCAAAGGCATTGACCTTTTTTGAACGTCCACCAGTGTAAATGTCTGCATAATGTGCCCTCTGAGTAAACAGTCACATATCGGAGAGACAAAGAGGAGACCATGGCCAGACGATCGCTCTGGCCAACATACGAGGGACAAAAGAAGCAGGGAAGAAGATACCTCATAGCGGCCATTTTTAAGTCTAATCTTCTCGTCGTTCCTTCGAGAACATGGTGATTTACAGAATTTTTTCACAAAGCTACAGCACAATTGGCAGTACTTCTTTGTGCTCCACACCGTGGCTCTCCTTGGGATCAACAAACGCTTCTCATTTAATTTTTTTTCAAGTTTCCTCTTTACTGGCAAACTTATCTACTTCAATTCGACATAGAGCTAAAGCTTGAAACGTCTCGTCTACCTCAATCAACTTTTTTTTCTTTTTTTTTTTTTTTTAACAATTAATTAATGCAATTTGTTTTTTAGGATCCTCGATTTAACTCAGAAGTCGACAAGACCACTGGTTACCGAACACAGTGTATTCTATGTATGCCGATCAAAAGTCATGATGGCGAGGTAAAAACACATTTGGTTATTTTTTCCATCCTTTAATCTAATGACCAGACTTGATGGAGATCAATTGAACAACATCAAGAAAAAAGAAAAAAAAAGGGAAACAGAGGGAAGCCACATCGACAATATGAGAGGGTCTCCAATAAGTTTTTCGGGATCCGGGATTGGGCTTATTTAAAGGCCGGGATCTGGGAATTTAAAGTAAGAAGGGAGCGAGATGCGGGGTTGCTATTATGAATGGAACACGGGAATCGGCGATTCTGAGGAGCAGGATTCGGGAAATAATCACTTAAACGAACCGAGAACCGGGATGTCCGTTGACGAAAATTTATGGAGAAATGGATCTTCTCAGTCATGAAAAGCACCAGGCGCAGAGTCTCTCTAGCTCTCTAAGTTGCCAATTTATCAAAAATCCTAAATAGCCCACAGGGTTACGTGGCATCTAAGACTACTGTGTCAATTGAAATACTTAACGGCCTTGAAAAACCTCTAGCAAGTCTAAGAATTATACCGATATGACCTGTTGAGTAACATGACACTAGATGTGAAGAATAGTTACTCGGTTGTGCGTCACAAAGATAAACTATTCACGGTGTTAGATTACCCAAGAAACCTTGGAAATGTAGCCAAAGAAGGCTCAATGAGGACAACCCATTGGGCGGCGTACTATTTTACAAATCCAAATTCTTGGTATCCTGTACCCGAACGTGCCAGGATCCTCTCGGCCATAGCATCCATTTCAACCATTATCACCTGTGCCGATGGCACCACAGAGCGTACAGAAGATTAGGGACTGGGCGTAAACATTTGTTGCAGCAGTGCGTCAGCTCTCTGTCAGACAGGAAAAAACGATGGCTCTGACTTCGAGGAGCAGCTAGAAAACAGCAGGAAACAAGGCGAAGAGGAAGATGGAATATTGGAATACGATTCCTCGAGTGATGATGATGACATTCCACCTTTGGAACGAGAGGCTGATTTTTACCTCGGAAGAGGTTTCTACTTCGAAAGAAGTATTCGCTTCAACAGCAGAATTGTGTTCAGTTAATTTTTCTTTATCTCCTTTGTTATGGATATATGGGATTTCCGTGACCTTGATATTTTATGCACTTGTAGAAATTGTTATTCGTTTCTTTGATACTGACTGCCTGTACCTTTACGTTTGTCCGTGATTGAATTTTGATGAAAGGAAGTCGTTACCGTGACTAGCGTACGTTATTCCTGCAAGACGTTGCAAACTTCTAATATGAACGATATCATCATTTTGGTGAAAATTGTTACAGAGAAAACAGAAAACAAGAAAACAAGAGGAAACACTTATGCCTGATAGTGACCATAGACTTCAACGGATCAATGCTGGTTAAGAAAATCATCACTGACTGGAAAGGTCCTTCTTGGTTTAGGAAATGGGCTAAGACAAAATTGTATGATCGCGATCGTGATTGGCCGGTATCAACCATCGGGATTACGGGATTGAGAGAAAATTTTAGTCGGGATCGCGGGATTGAAGAATCATATTGGGGACCCTCATATGAATGAGAGTTCTTTACTCAAAATAAATCCGGATTACCATCAAAAAATGAAGACGATGAAAACAGGCCCATGGTGAAAAATGCTGAAAACGCCTTTTTCTTTCGAGTGTATTTCTCCTCAATTCATCGCCAACCTCATCTTTTTTTTTCTTCATTACAATACAGGTAATCGGAGTAGCGCAGATCATAAACAAGAAGTCAGGTAAACACCAGTTTACTCAAAAGGACGAAGAGGTAAGTCTTTGAGCCGCGAAAAATGGTTAGTAATACAGTAATATATCAACATAGCGGATGAATTAGCGCTGTTCTTTTCAAAAATGAAAATATCTTTCTTTGTCGCTTTCTGATAATTTTTCGAGGTTTTTTTGTTTGACAGCACCACTTCATGGTGCCCCACTTGCACCCATAGCACGTTGTAAATCCGCAATTATCACTATAAGACTTAAACACAAACTGAACACTCTTTTTTCGCTCAATTTTAGGTTTTCAAGAATTATCTAACTTTTTGTGGAATTGGGATTACAAATGCTCAGCTTTTCGAAATTTCTGTACAGGAGTACAACAGAAATCAGGTATTACGAAGGAACAGGTGCCGTTCAGGATAGATCAGATGTGTAGTAAAGTTGACAGCTATGTGAGCTGATGTACGTAAGTTTACTGAAGGTGTGAAAAGTTTCTGTACAGGAGTACAACAGAAATCAGGTATTACGAAGGAACAGGTGCCGTTCAGGATAGATCAGATGTGTAGTAAAGTTGACAGCTATGTGAGCTGATGTACGTAAGTTTACTGAAGGTGTGAAAAGTTGGAATTGTTCGGATTTGGTGTTTTGCTGGGCGGGGACATGTTGGGTGCTTACAATACCGTCTTATGAGAGGCCTTGGATTGTTTTCAATCAGGTGGATGGTTTGTTTTCTTCTCAGCGTAGAGTGGAATGGTCTGGTGAAAAGCGTGTGTATTCACCTTTAAACCGTTGACGTTGAGATTGTAAATAGAGTAATGAAGAAAAGTAATAACAACTGGCTAACTCTACGGGGCCATTACAGAGCTCTTCAGAGCTCGTATGGTGCTTAAGTGCTTAGGGCGAAATCCGTGATGTTTGTTCTTTGCTATCGCAAAAAAATCAACAACTTTCCTTTAAACCTTTTTGGTGGACTAAAATTAGTCATTTTTTTTGAAAAGCCCTGAATTGACAGATATTGCCGATTTTCACTCACATTACTTTAATTGCACAATACTGTTATATAACCAAATTGTGATCTGGGTTTGCCATGTGGTGTACCGACTGAATTGTAGATCCTTCTTCAACTTGCACGTGGAATATTTGAAGAGCAGAGTAACCTAGATACATGTGTCCATAACATTATGGTTGAAGTACAACAATTACTTGATGTTGAAAGATGTATGGTTTTCCTCAGGGATGAGTCTTGCGAAACTGTAAGTGAATATGAGGCAGATATTATTTCCTCTTGTTTGTTTTATGTAAAAGTTAATCTTGTTTCGCTTACTTTACCTCGTTACTGAGGGTGAAAAGCACCATCACAGAAGATAAATAGTCAGTCAGGTAATTAGTGGATGCCAGATATGAAAAATCTCTTCTCACTGATATAGTAATCTCAGGACTAGATGGGGATTCAGTTGTACTATGCTACTGGAGACAGCAAGTGAGTTAGGAATGTCCCAAGCTCACACACTAACACAAAAACAAATGAACCTTATTTCAGTGATATTCTAAATCAACCTTGGTTATACTTCCACGAAATTATCATTTTGGATTTGAAAAGTATTTATTCAAATATTTTTGTCTGCTATTCTGTGGAACCAGTTTTAAGTGGGCACCACTTTTGGTAAAGGTTCTATGGTGACCTCATGTTCAGTGTTATCTGTCTTATATGGCAAAATTTGTCTTATTTGTCTTATGTGGCAGAAATTCTGAGTCCTCCCTCTCCTGAGTTTATTTTGCACTGTATTACTCTACCACTGATTCATATGTGCATGTGTCCTGCACACAGTCAGGATGAGTAATGTTGTTTACATGAGTAATGTTGATTACATGAGTAATGTTGATTAGATTAAGATATGTCATGAATTTAAAGCTCACTCATCTATTTAATGCAGATTTTACATGTTTTGATATAGGCAAAAGACAAAAATTTAAGCCTGTGTCTTCATTAGGGACATGATGACAAATTTTGAGCACAATGACATGTACATTATTCTTTCAACATTTGTGATCCTGAAGATCAATAACATTGTTTGTGTAAAGTAATTGATTATAAAACTATTTACCTGTTTAATAGCAAGCGACCATATTTTCCAAGGCCTTTGATCTTCACCCAGGAGCTGTTAATGATACAGGACCAAAGTAAGTTCAGTGAAGCTTTTATGTTGTTATTTCCTTTCAATTTTATTTTTTAGACTGAATAGTTTTAAATGAAATGGTAGGATACTGAATTACACATCGCTATGAGTTTGCTGGTTTTCCTTTACCAAATAAGGCATAGAAATAGACATGTTTCCTTGACATGCTAATTGTCATGTCTGAAAACCAAACATAAGATAACTTGGTTCAGATCTATATTTTCTCAAAAACAGTTCTTTCTGATCCTTGGGAAATGTCTCACAAATGAAAGTAGTGCACTCTTTCAGAGCTTATCTCTTTCTTGCAATATAGGTTAAAGTGACAGGGTATATGAAGCTTTTGTCTTCAAAGTTGCCCCCCCCCCCCACCATCTGTAGGATGTCATTATCGCAAAAAGTTTGCCCCATTTAACAGAACAAGTTAGCCATCAGAATTTTTAACTTGTTTCCTTAAGCAAAAGAGGTTTCTTTGGAAAATAAAGAATGTCATATGTGGACTACTTCTTAAGCACTGGAAAGTCATTACTTCTTGAATGTGAACTTGTCACACATTGATTTGTGCTCACTTCAGATCTGTTATTTGATCACTGTGGTAAGTTGTAACAACCTGTTTACTTTCCAGAAAGGACTGGCTTGCTATATGTTTGTGGGTATTTTTTTTCAGTTGTCATCTTTTCATTAACCACGTTAGCAGTATTATCCTACATGTACATTGCATAAAGCACAACACAGTTATCCACAGTTATATATTACACCATGAAACTGATTGGAAAATCCACACAAAATTCTGTATGTTAGCCTTTGTTTTGATCATCAAATTCATTGTATGTGAATCTGAAAGAAAGTTAAGACACCCTTGACATGCCATACCACAGCATGTGTGCCCATGTATTTACTTAATTTCAGTGTCAAGGATCACTTATACTTGTGTTTGGTTTTTATTGCAGGACAAGTAAAACTCATTGGTCAATGAACACTGGTATTGCTTCATTGGTGGGAAGTTCTGGCAAGGTATTGACCTCCTTTTAACAAGTATGGAGTTGACAAGAAGTAAAGATTTTAGCATCATTGTAATTAAGTGATTTCATAATTCTGTGTATAACACAATATACAAAATGTGTTTTGCTCAACTTCAAGAACTTGAATTCAAGCAAATTGTATCATAGAGAGTTGTTACTTGCACTATTGGAATTGCAAAAAAATAATGAAATTAACAATTACTAAATCATGTTGTTAGGCTTTGAATATTCCTGATGCCTATGCTGACAGTCGGTTTAATCCAGAGGTATGTATAATAAATTGTAATGACCCTAGTCACTCGATAACTGCTGCTTTCATCTTCTCTCTTTTGAATGCCTGGTTGTCTACAATTGCCTAGCCTTGTTTGCATATATTTTTCTTCCTTCATTCCATTCTTTCACTCTTTCTTTTTTCCTCTCTCTCTCTCTCCTCTCTTTCTTTATTTAATTATTTATTTACTAGTTATTAATTCAAGAGTCATTTTTGCACACATTTTTGTACAGTATTTGGGAAATTTCAATTTAGTTAGGGCTGGTTTATGATAATCATTAATAGTAAATCTAAACATGCTAAAATGTTTGCATTCAACTTTAAGCCTACCACCAAATTAAAAATTGTCATACAATTGACACAATCTGTTCTCTGATTCAACCAAAATTTACATATTATAAATAATTGTTTTACGTCAAATAAAAACAAGATTAAATTTTTTTTTCTAAAAAAGGGATGTGTTTCTTTGTTGTTGTCATTGTTTTTAAAAATTATATACTATTTGTTTTTGGTAATGCTGCCTTTGATTTCTTTCATAGGGAGATATTGAAAGTGGATTCAAGACAAAGTCTATTCTTTGTATGCCAATTTTTGACAGACAGCAGAAAATTGTAGGCAAGTACATGCATTTGTTGTTAAATTAAGACACCTCAGTTTGAGGAACTGCTGGAATTTAGTACATCTTTCCTTACACAAGATCAATCATCCTAACCCTAACCCTAACCCTAAGCAATTTTCTCAGATTTCCCTTAAATCTGGAGGTCAAAGAATGGTGATCTGGAAACTACCCACAATACCTTCTGGGGTTGTCGTATGCGCTTCTGCACTTTTTTTTCCCCATCAGACTTTATCAAAACAGCTGTAGTGTTCTTTTTATTTCCATCTCAACTCAAATTTTGTCCCAAGTTAATAAAAAACAATATTTTTTAATTCATCATGATCTAGCTTATAATAATATTTTCATGAATATGTGGTCAGTCATTATGATTGATTTGGTTCATATTTCTTGTCAAGGGAGACATAGTACTAATTCCACTGAACCATTATTATTTATGTAGGTGTTGCACAGTTGCTCAATAAGAACAGTGGTAAACCTTTTACTGAAGGTGATGAGAAGCTTTTTGAGGTAAAAAGAGTTTTTTTTAACTGACAATATTCTGAAGAGGTCAATTCCTTTAATTTTAGTGTCTTTTTTATGTTACATTTAATTGAGTAATCTTTACCTTCCAACAGGCATTTGCAATCTTCTGTGGCCTTGGAATTCACAATGCCTTGATGTATGAGCAGGCTTGTAAGCTGCTTGCTAAGCAGTCTGTTGCTATGGAGGTACAGTATAATTATAATTGTCATCATCTTAAACCTTTTTTCAACCTTCTTTAAATTAAAGGTTGGAACAGCTTGTGAAGTCAGGGTCTCTGGTTAAAATTTGCAATTACATGCATATGCAGCTGAAGTATTAAATGGAAATTCTTTAAGATCTAAATTTACAATATAGGGTATATCTTTTCCTGTACAATTGAAAAATGCATGAAGGACTGATAAAAGCAAATATTGCCCTATCTCTACCTTGAAAACTATACGAAAGCCTTTGTGGAGCCTTGCAGCCTTAATTTTTAAACATTCATTTTTCCAGGTGTTGTCATACCATGCTTCTGCTCAGCAATCAGAAGTTAATAAAATAATGGTAACTACACAATTTGTTTAAAAAAAAAAACACTTCTTGCAATTCTGTTGTTGCTTTTTTTTTAACATGGAAGAATTAATTTTACTCTCTTAAGTTACAGTATCTCCTTTCTGACATACACTGTATATGCACAATGTATATATGGCACCAGGATGTAATGGAAGAATTTTTTATTATACTTCTCTTATGTTAGTTCTGTTATCAATAACTTTGCAAAATGACTCAAATGAATGTGAAAAAATTGATGTGGATATGTGTAGTGACTGTTGAAGGAGGAGTTTATTTGATCAGTACCTATCAAGTTTCTAATATTATTCAAGGCAAAAATCTGTTGTGTTTTTCTGGTCTCCAATACTACTGAAAGATTTTGATCGTCTTTTTCAGAGTCAGGAAATTCCTTCTGCTAATGATTTCAAGCTGTACACTTTTGACTTCAGTGACTTTGAATTGACAGATGATGACACTATCCTTGCATCAATACAATTAATGCAGGAGCTTGATTTCATGAATGCTGTGCACACAAAGCAACCGGTAACTTTTTTTGTAAACAATTCATATAATTATATATATATATGTGTGTGTGTGTGCGTGTGTGTGTGTAATATATAAATGAATGAGGGGATAAAGTCTACCTTGGCATAAAGTGCTCAATGCTGTGGTAGCAGAGCTAAGTACACATAAGTTAAAGAATTAAAGAGGACCCATTGATTCTCTATGACTCTGAGTTTCGTGCCTAAGTGCTCGTCAGACAGTGCATACATACATGTACACACAGTACATACATACATGCATATATATGCATACATATATGTATGTGTACAAGTTGTCTTTGATCATATTCAGATGTTAATTTGTGCCTAATAAGAAATAAATTATTATTAAATAATTATTATAATAAATTGTTACTGTCTGGTGTGGAATTTGGATCATATTTTATATTATGATTGTATTAAATGTTAAGTCAGTTAATGAATGTATTCCAATATGAGGAATCAAAGCTGACTTGATCTCTCTATTCTGTACTGTCTCAGACACTCTGTAGATGGTTACTGAGTGTAAAGAAAAACTATCGACCTGTCATTTATCACAACTGGAGACACGCCTTTAATGTGGCACAGAGCATGTTTACAATGATTACAGTGAGTTGATAGTTGTTTACTGCAACTTCTAAGGAAGTTTGGTCTTCAACCTTTGTTATGAGGGTGTGATCCATCCATTGGTGCTATTGTCAGATTTTCCCCTTGAAGGATTGGATAGAATATGATAGAGATGACTGCAGTATAAGCTATGGGTAAATTAGAGGTGTGAAGTTTGTTCTTATACAATGTAGAGAATAAATTTAAGTATTTGGAAGTGAGAATTATTTCTGATATTTAAGGCTTCCATGGAATTGGAATAGAGACATGAGTTAGAATGAGCATTTGGCTCAATTTCTTAGAGGTCTTTCAATTTAAAAGTTTTCAGAACTAATTTGGTTATCCTCATCAACAAAGCTGATATAAACATGCATGACTTCATAATTATGTTAACTATGACTGATTTGTGTCTAATATATTAATTTTTTGTTCAACAGACTGGTAACATGAGAAGGTTTTTCACTGATTTGGAGGTGTTTGCTTTGGTCATTGCATGTTATTGTCATGATCTTGATCATCGTGGTACCAATAATGCATTTCAAACAAAGTAAGTGAACAGAGATGTATGTGAAAGCATGGAAGGAAGAAAACCCTTACCATAGTATACAAAAATAAGGAGCATACCTATATACTTCGCTAGAGACAGCATGGTGGAGTGGTTAAGGCACTGTACTTGCAATCTGTTTGGTTCTGGTCTCATGAATTAATTGAAGCAAGTATGCAAAGTTGCTCTTGTAGGAACATTTTTTAAATCAGGTAATGCACTGTAAATGTATATTACAGTACACTGTGTATTTGCTGATTAAACCAGAAAAGACGTCTGAAGCAATAATAAAGACGAAAAGCAATAATTGTTCTTGGAGTTTTTAACTCGTGATGCGCGATAGCGTAGCAAAGAGTTGATATGGGCACTTTGGGATATGCAAATTGGAGTGGACTCTTCGTTATTAGTCGTAATTAGTCGGCTCCGAACTCGAGAGCTATCCTTCCGAAGAAGTCCGAAGTTCAAGCGCCATTGTGATTGCATCGATCGTTGCGATGTTTGTTGCTTTACACGACTGTTTCGACATTTACTAAATTGAAATGGACTTCGAATGTTTCAGATTAGTGTTATGATCAACTTAAAGACCAAATTTGAAGGGTCTTCGAATCGTCCATGAGCTAAACATAACGAGGAGCAGCGAGAATCACCAAGAGTTTGTGAGTGACAGAGCAAGCTGTTGACGTAGAAATTCCCACGGAAACATGTACCCATGACCTAAAAAAAATGTTAATTTACGGCACTATTTCTTTCGTTTCAGGCGTTTTTTTACGTTTCGGCAGCTACGCCAATTTCAAACTTTTCGCAATGGTCGTTTCGTTTTGTTGTTTTTCTATGCAAACGTGACTTTCTAAATGGTAAGAATGAAATATGACCGGTTTCTACAAGTCGTTGCCAAGTACGTGACCATAATCTGGTCGGTGATGTTTTGATCACTTAACGATCTTTTTCGCTCAAAACACACGACGACTTCCCATTTCAAGGAATGTTTTTCCAATAAATTTCTATCGCATCCGTGTTAAAATATACAAGCATAGGCGTGTACTGAAAAACAAAAGGGAAATTCAAAACTACGAAAAATTGCGAGTAATCAACCTCTTCTGCAACACGCGGGTTTTCTGGTGTAGCATGCGTGTGTTTCCCATAAGTTAGGGCCTGTTTACATGGAAGTGGGGGACCCCAGGTAGGTGAGGTAACCCGCCTAGCCGTGGTCGAAAAATAAAACACGTTTACATACAATCTTACGACCCCGGGGTGCTGAGGTGAGGTTTCCTGAGGTTGTTGCTACGCTTGCAATTAGGGAGTTTGAGCATGGGCGTCCAAAGCTCACATCTCGAGAAAGACTAAAGATTAATTATTGGACACGTATGTATTTATTCATGAAAGCGTCACGCGTTGTGTTACGCGGTGTTAGGTTACGCGAGGAACCATTGACTTAATACATTATACGAAATAGTTTGAAACGTGGTCGATTTACAACGCTAAATATTCCGAATGTGAACATTTTATATTCCTTGTGTGTCCTTTGTGGTTTCTGGTGATTTTTGCTATGAGACGGCTGGGAAATGTAAAAAGTTTAAAAACATACGTGTTTCGCTTTGGAGCTTTTTGCCATGAACGCGACCCCGGGCAAATTGTCACCGGGCAACCCGCCAAGACGGGTCAGCCCTCTTATCATGTGAACATGATCAAGAAAAAATAAGAAAGTATATGGACAGGCGGGTTACCTCACCTACCTGGGGTCCCCAACTCCATGTGTAAGGGCCTGTTTACATATGTGTCCGAGAATTACATACTCAATTTCTTTACTTGCAATGGTTCTAATTTCTATCTTCTTTTGTAACACCTTAGTTTATTGTTGATAAAATAAGTTTGCCACCGTAAAGAGTTTCCAAGCTGACGTTTCAAGCGTCAGCTCTTCGTCATTCGCTTTGACTAAGGGCTAACGCTCGAAACGTCTACTTTGAAAATTCATGGTGGCCTATTTACGTTATCAACTCAGTTGATAAAACCAAATTACCTTGTTGTACTCTCCCACCAATGCAGCACCACAGTTTCTATATAAACTTAACCCCTATATACTGGTTGCTTACGAGATTGCCTGTTTAGGGAGAGTTGACTGTTTTCTATAAGTTATCATGTCATTTCCATGATAGGACAGAATCTCCGCTGGCCCAGTTGTACGGCACTTCCACCATGGAACACCATCATTTTGATCACTGCATTATGATCTTAAATTCAGAGGTAAGTGCACTGTTTCTGTGGCTGAAAAGGTTTGTGAAAGCTATTATTCAACAGTATGGAGATTAACTGCAGTGAAGTCAATATTTGAGGAATTTGTAATGGTTATTATCATCATCATCATCATCATTATCATCATTATTATTATGATTATTGTCATTGTTATTATTCTTATTATCATCATTATGATGGATTGTCAACTCCTAAGCCAATATGTGTTTACTGTGACCCTTAAGGCAGCCGACTTCCGTTCAACTGCCGGCCGACGCTTTGATAAGATATAATTGTTTATCATAACAATGCGTCATTTTAGATCACACTTTTTCCCTGCTTTAAGGTAGTTTATTTAATCGTTTTGAAGGGAAACAATATATTCGAGGAGTTGTCACCAGATGATTATCGAGCAACAATCAAGATTTTGGAGCACGCCATCTTGTCCACAGACCTTGCGCTGTATTTCCAGTAAGTAAACTTTATTAAGCTACGTTTGTTTCATCGTTTTCATCATCTTAGGGCTGGACATGAAATACTGTCAAGCAGCATGATGAATACTTCACAATTAATTTGTTTTGGTTGTTAACTGACCATCTGTTTTGGGTGATTTGTTATAAACATAAAGATAAAGAATAGTACTCAATTTGCAAAACAACTCAATCTACTTCGACGGACACTGTAAAAGCTGCAATGAATCCCTAGTTCGGCCAATGGTTATCACACAAAATAATTAATGGCTTTGTTTGACATGGGCACTGTCACAGGAACGTGCTACACCATTTCTGGTTCTAAGCCGAGTTACATCTATTGTGATATTACTGGTTGCCATGAGTTAGATGAAATTTCGAAATTCGGTTTACCCACGAACTCTAGTGTAGCCCTGTTTCTTTCACTCGTCGGAATCTACAACGGTTTGCTGAGCATGTCACTAATACTGATTTAAAGTCGGATATCTTGCAGGAAGAGAGGCAATTTTGAGCAGATTGTACATTCAGACTCAACTGACTGGACTACACAATCCAACCTTGAAATTTTAAGAGCAATGATGATGACAGCTTGTGATGTGGCAGCCATCACTAAGCCGTGGAACGTCCAACAGCAGGTCTGAATTATCCTTCTAGGATGTGTTCAATAAGAGAGACAAAGGCAGAGGTTCACACCGTACTTATGTTTGTCGCATAGGATCGAAAAAGCGTGTTGGTTGTTTCACCAACAGTTTCATTGCTCTCTGCCTTTTTTTCGCAAGTCTTGCTGTGATACGTGGGCTCTCGAGAAAAAATAACTGTTAGAGCTGGCTTGAGACTTTTCTTTCGCGCGGGATCCACACCAAAACATGGTTCGAGAGTAGCCGCTGACCTGATTCTCGAATTCGAATACAATTCTGGGTTTTAAAATGGGTCGCCTTTGAATAGAATTTGTGAAGGCTTTTTAAAATCGTAAATCTTTAAACAGGTAGCTGAGCTAGTTGCAAGCGAGTTTTTCGAACAAGGTGACCTGGAGAGATTACAACTCAATTCTGAACCTATTGTAAGTATCATGTAACCTATTAATTTTTAAGGAAGATGCGATCTTCACGATGTGAACCGTCGATCTGTCTGTAGATGACCATCACAAAATTATGCTTTGAGGTGTAAACCGTTAATCTGTTTGTAGATTACCATCACAAAATTATGCTTTCAGGTGTGAACGGTAGATCTGTTTTTATACGACCATCACAAAATTATGCTTTGAAGTGTCGTACAATTCAATTAAATTGTATGGCAAGGTAGTCCTGAGGTAAAGCGTTTTGATTGGTTCTCATTTGGTCGGACCCTTTCCACGGAGACGGACATGAGGCGTGTATTTCGTTCGCGAAAGCCGGGAAATTCAAAGCAAGTTTTTTCCGAGTGCCGTATAATGAACTACTTACAAACCTCGTTTGCTCGAGTCGCACAAGGGAATATTGGCCCTCGGTATTTTTTGGACGGACCTCTCTACACTCGCTCCGTACTGCCACGACTTCAAGTCAATATTCCTCAGTACGGCTCTCACACTCGTTTAGTAAGAACTTAATATTTCTTGAATCAGGTATTTTCTCCGCAGACAAGTGATCTATTTTATCATTTTTAAAGTTAAATAAAATTGTTTTCTGTGGCCCTTTGAGGTTCTGAACTAGGTATGAAATTTATTTTCTCAGCAATCATATGAACCACATTCTGTACAGTTTGATATAAAATTACTTACCCGCATTTATGGTGTCGTTATAGCCAATGATGGATAGGAAAAAGAAAGATGAGCTCCCAAAGATGCAAGTTGGTTTTATCGACTTCATCTGTATGCCGGTGTATCAGGTAGGGTTCACTGGTGTTTTTTGTAAAGGGTAAACTGTTTAGTTGATCTGCCTTGAACTTAACTTAATGTCGTGATGTCATCTGGCCTAGCTTTATAATGCGCTCTTTTCCCGCAGTTATTTTATGACTTGGAACCTTGTCTGAAACCTCTTTATGATGGATGTGTTAACAACAAAAACAACTGGCTGGCCTTGGCGGATAAGAACACTCAGGAAGGTTGGAACCCTATCAATACTATTGTCATTTGTTGGAGTGCTTGGCTAGTAGACGATAGACGGGGGGGGAGGACGGGGGCTAAATGTTGGCTTTTTTGATTGCTTACTCCATCCTGCAGCTGTCTAGTTTGCCCACTACTTCGTCATCGTCTATTTGCACATAATTCTTCACTGGATGTCGTGACAGAAAAAGCGTCTTGTGGAGCGCAATATACCTCATGCTCGAGCAAACACACACGATTTTGAAGTGAAGAAGTTGATTTTGACATATTCACAGTCATTTATTCATCACTTAACGGGTCTATATGGAACCAATATAACGTCTAGCTCTCAGTTGGCTTGTTTGCTCAGTTGGTAGAGCACTGCACCGGTATCTCAAAAGTCATGGGTTCGAATCCTGCACAGGCCTGAATTATTTTCAGGCCTTATTTTCACTACTGCTCAAGTAGCGTTCATTACTGCGAAGATCGCGTTCATATTCACGTTTTTATCCGCATTTCACATATATGATTTTGATATATTCACTGTCATTTATTCGTCACTTAACGGGTTTTTATGGAACCAACGTAACAACCAGCTCCCAGTTGGCTTGTTAGCTCAGTTGGTAGAGAATTGCATTGGTATCGCAGAGGTCATGGGTTCAAATCCTGCACGGTCCTGAATTTTTTTCAGGCCTTATTTTTACTGCTGCTCAAGTAGCGTTCATTACTGCGAAGATCGCGTTCATATTCACGTTTTTATCCGCATTTCACATAGCTCAGTTGGTAGAGCATTGCATTGGTATCGCAGAGGTCATGGGGTCAAATCCTGCACAGTCCTGAATTTTTTTCAGGGCTTATTTTCACTACTGCTCAAGTAGTGTTCATTATTGCAAAGATCGTTTCATATTCAATACGTGTGAAGGTGTAATTGTACCCAAGCGAAGCCCCGATCAGCCTCTGATTGGCGTGATAATAACACATTTTATCGAAAAAATCGTAAGGAATACCATAGAGAATATTACTTTGTTGATAATAATCTTTAATCAGAATGCCAACCTACGTTGTATGGAGGATTGGTAACTAAACCATTAATCAAAATAGTTAGAGAATGAGTTCATTCTATTTTGGCCACGCACTCCTATGATCTGATGGATCTTTTGTGTCTATATGTCAATGGACCTGTAACCAAGGGCTCACAAGCTGTGTACCTCAGACCCTTTTTACAGAGTATGGATGTTTTTCAGACAAGTGAAAATGTTCCAGTGATTTAGCCTCCATCTCCCAATGTAATCATTGCACCGTATGATCACTGTTACTCTTCGGGTCGAAGCATTACTGTGCTATTTGTTGTCAATAGCATTCCTGCTACTTCAGTTATGCATACTCTTTTATTACTGGAGGTAACTAGAATTGTATTGTAGATAGATTACAAATTTTCTTTCTTCATTTTTTAGCAATGATGGACTCAAAGGAAGACAACAGCGATGCAAATAACAATCACAAGGACTTAGCTGCCAAGAAAAACGATAAACTAATAACACCAGAACGTAAGGTTTCTCAAACAAAAGATTCAACTAGTGAGGGAAAAGTAAGAAACAAAGACAAGAAATCGAAAACATGCAGTATCTTGTAAGACAGTTGTTTCCATGGCACTAATTGAAATTTTAATTATTTACATAGTGCTCGTTTGCTTTGTCTCATTTAAGAGGCTACGAGTACTTTCTTTATATTCATGGAACATAATTTTTGGGTCTACTCCCAATCCCTTAAATGTTTAAGACTCTAAATTTCTAAATTGTTGGCTTTTTCACTTCGTTTGCCAGTGCAATTTATTTAAGTAACGTAACTACTATAAATTTATTTATGAAGACTTGATTGTTTCTCCTGTGAATAAGAATGTGATACTAAGCATTATGGACTTACTCTGTACAAAGAAATAACAATACGACGCAACTACAATAAAGTTTTACTCAATTTTACAGAAAGTTTTTTCTCTCTTTTTATATTTCTTGTCCATCTTTTTCATATTTTGTTTTGTTTATGGACTGGCATTAAGAATAACTGAATGAACTCACTATGAGCATTAATTTCTAACAACTGATTGACATTTTCAGATAAAATCAGTGAAATCAAGTTGACTGTTACACGGTAGCAATTACCTCGGGTTTTGTGGTTTGCTTTCTTGTTTGTGGTTCTTTCGTTCGTTCGCTTTTTGTTTTGTTTTGTTTCGTCGTTTTTTTTTCTTGAATCAAAATGACAATTGACGTTATTTTGTCTTTTTGTACAATATCCTATCTCTACCCAGCGTGCAATATGTTACCGGATACAAACAAGAAAGCTGCCTTTCAGTCTTTCGAAGAGGAAGAATGAAAGGGAAGTTCGACTCATAAAAAGATCTTCTCGTGAACACTTCGTTCGTGTATGAAATGTCAAAGAAGGCAAACTCCGTCCGTGTATGGGTGAGATGATATGTAGTGAGTTTTTAATGCGTTCTTTTGGTAAAAAGCTTTTTCACAAAACTCACATTTGAATGGCTTAGTTGGCGCATGGGTACGTTTGTGAGTGTTAAGTGTAGAAGTGAGAGTAAATCCCTTTCCACAAATGTCGCATTTGTAGGGTCTGTTTCCCGTATGTCCATAGATATGTGCCTGGAGATTTCCTTTCTGATTGAAGCCTTTGCCGCAGTGTTCGCATTTGTACATTCGAACAGCGGAATGAGTTCTCATGTGGTACTTCAGGTGAGTGAGCTGTTTGAAGCCGCGGCCGCACTTGCTACACCTGTGTGGCTTCTCACCAGTGTGAGTGTAGCGATGTATTTTCATGTCGACTTTCTGATGGAATCCCTTTCCGCAAAAATCGCACGAAAATGGTTTGTAATTTGTGTGTGTTCGCATATGGGTGTTTAAGTTGGATGTGCGGCTGAAACACTTGTTGCACTGTGGACAGGCGTGAGGTTTGATAGAAGCGTGAGTCAGTTTATGACGAGTTAGGTTCCCAAGTTGACGGAATGCCCTACCACACAAATCACAAGAAAAAGGCCTATCACCAGTGTGAATGCGCTTGTGGGTGATTAAAGTGTTACTTCGACTGAACGCCCGTCCACACACCTCGCATTGATATTTTCGTTCCCCAATTGGCACCTCTTTTGTTGGATTTCCAGCGGCAGATGTCTGTGTGTAAGTGGAGTTCACATCATGATGCAAGATTCCTTTCCAAGTTTCTGAACGTGATAGGCATTCCTTTTCTCCTGTGAAATCATTTGCTTTGGAACTCCCCAGTTGCGGTAAAATGTCCATTTTTTTCGACGAACTACTTTTTGGTTGGTTCGTTGTTTGTTGGTTTTGCGAACTACTAGAAGGAAATCCACATTCTGTGGACTCCAATCTGTCTTTTCTTTCACACGTGGCGCTACTTACACGTTTTGCGATCATATCATGAAATTGGAAGAACTCTCTTGATCGTTGAAAAGGAGAGCTAACAGCTACCATTGATTTCAAAGAGTTTTCAGCCCCATAAGAAATGCTTACACCCTCGATTGTTCTGCTCGGTCTCTCTTGGGGTAGTTTCAGAATAGGATATGTTGGTTGGTATTGATTTCGGCTGGTAAGCCCTGGACAGTTACTCATTAAGGCTGGTGGCGGACATGAAACGCTGGTTAAAGAGCTTTGGGTCACGAAGGCAGACTTTGGTCTTTCGTCTTTGAATGAACAAAATTGAAAGCTTCTGACCGAAGATGGGTTTTTATTTAGAATCACAGCACCTTGGCCTTTTGTGAAATGTTTGTATACATCTAGGGTTCTTGTTCCCTTATTGTTTATTTTGCATGGCGCAGAATTCTCCAAAGTTGTCACCTCCCTGTATTCTTTGTTGCATTTGACCTCACTGAGTGCTGGTTTTGTTGGTTTGCTTGGAGGTTTTTGAAAGGGTAGACAACTCTGTTGTGATGGCTGAACATTCAAATCCTGAGGGCCTGAAAAAATGTTTTCTCCTAAGGGATTTACAAGCTCGAGTTTCGGATTATGATATGCTCTTTTCTCTTGGGTGACATCAAAGAAGTAGTTTGGTATCTTAACCACCGGTTCCTTGTCATTTTCCAAAGCCAGCTGCATCTCCAGGTTCTGGAATGGTTCAGGTGCTGGCGTGACGTCAAACCGTGCCTTTCCATATTTCCGTTTGGATCTCCGTGAATTGCGGGGATTTCTCTTCAAACCTTGTCTTGCTCCACAACTTACCTCGAAGGAACCATTTTCATATGTGAATACCCACGGGTAGCCACTTTGTGCATCATCTTGTTGTAGTTTCTCCTTTTTTGTTGTATCTAATTTATGGAAAGATTCTACGGACAGGGTTTGATGTCTCCAAGGTAACAATTTTTCTCCAGTTAAGACCCCAATTGGTCTTTGTGCATCGTTAAGCCATGTTTTATCGTCGTTGTCATTGGTATCCGTTACTACTAGCAAATCATGTTCACCGGTGGCGAAGCACGGCGACAATTGTGTTTCATTAGTTTTCAGATCCATAGCAACCGATTCATCTTGAGTTCCTGTTTCTTCAGCTATTGTGATGGGCAGTGAATTAGACCAAGAATTGTCTTGCTGATTATTCGTTCCTACTGGAAGCATTTTGTTTTCGCTGCCTCCTCTCAGTAAGAATTGACCTTTCGGATAATCCCAGATGCAAAAGCACTGTTCTAGATGTTTTCCACGTGCCCCTCTCTTTCCCTCACATTTATTTTGCCTTGTATTATGTGCATATCTGTAGCACTCCAGAGGTATTGATGGGTATGACCTAACATCCGCGTTAAAAATGTGGCGATGAATCGGTGGCGCTGAAGAGGAACGATCCTTCAAAAGATGCTTATCATCCTCGTCTGCAAAGTGAGTTTTGTTCCAAACTTCCTTTAATACTTCTCCGTCAGTCATTCTACTTGGCTCAGTTGTTGTGTATATTTCATATGCGTGGTTGAGTTTGTCATCGGGCACCGTTGAATCAACTGAGTCTTTTCCAAAATAACTAAATGTAATCGCAAGGGAATCTTTTTGGAGATGAGCTAGTATCGGTGTCTTAGTTTCCGTTGTTGTGTGCCGCTGACTCAAAATGGGACGAGTCGAGTAGTGAGAGAAACAAGATGGACTTTGAGTGGATTGGGAGTAAAAAGAGGTTGTTTGCGGGTAATTTGACCTCTTGCCGTGACTGGAGTTAGACGACATGTTTGGATTGAGTGAGAAAGTAGAGGTGATCTGGATCTGTAGAGGAGAACCTTCGTCTCTAGAAGCGCCATCTTGCTCTTTATTATGAGTTCTCTTCTCTATTTCAGTTGCCAATTGCCGGTAGCCTTCTGAAGGAACTCTTGAATTTCTACTACTTCTATAAACGTGTGACTGTTTTCCTTGACTGAAATATCTGTCATGACTGATGGAGGAAATTTTCGGTATTTTCATCTCGTTATTGCATTCCGTTCCGTTCACATTTGCTATCGAGGTTTCCGCCAGCAGATTTGCCGTAAATCCATATTTCAATTCATATTTTCCCCCTGTCGCAGTTCTGGAAGGGTAACTGTCCATTTCCTCTTGACTACGGGGAGATTTCCTTAACATACTTGAGAGGAAAAAATAAAAGACTTTAGAGTGACTGATACTAACGATGACCCTCCCGACAAACGACAGCAGTTAGAAATGCTCATATTTTTTAACATGGTTTTATGGCCCCTAGAAAAATTCAGCGGACCAATCTAGATCAATAGTCACCAAACGGATGTGAACAACGCTATGGGTTGCCAATGGGGCCAACAAACCAGCTAAATAACTGTTATGATAATCAGTCAGAATTAATGATCTAACGGAGAATATAATCCACTTTCGTCCATCGACAATCAATCATGCGGATTTTTCCTTGTTCAGTTTCAAATGGGAACTTAATTCAATGTAATTATGTAAATTCAAAAGAGTTTTTGAAGTGGTTAGAGTTTGTGGTCTGTTTGAGGCATAACGCGTATAAATCTTTTTACCTTCCCAACAAAAAACTGGACATGTTGAATGTGACACTAATCTGAGACAGAAAGGGACTAAATGCAGCTTGTACTCGATGAATTTCTTCGGTTTCTGCTGTGCAATTTGCGGTAGAAAAGTTTGATTTAAATCGACTCGCAAATACTTAACGAAAGTGTAGATTGGGATGATAAGCATTGAAATAGACCCAGCAAATCTCTTTAGAAAGGAGCCCCATTTGTCTAAAAGGGTTGGTAGATCTGGAGTTCGGTACAAGAGATGGTAGAGTGGTGGATCAGGACCCTTGTTGCTGTCATTGGATTGCGTCATTGTTGACTGACGCTACCGTTGCTATGGGATGATTGAATGTCGAACAATTAGCGGTCGATTTGAAAATATGACGAGCAAAATTGTGCTACGGTGAGTTCAAATTTGTTGAGTATAAAAAAATCCAAAGTGTTTTGACGACTTTACTGATAAGCAAAACTTTTAAAACAAGGAAGCCGATCATATTTTATCGAGTAACTATGGCCCCACGGAGCTGGCTACAATGAAACAAATCAGCATTACTCAATTGGGAAATTTCACGTAATAATTGATTACAGTTCGACCTTGAGCAAAAACTAGTGTTTTTTCGTTTTTTAAGCACGAAACATTGCAACGGCTTAAGTTCCCTCGTAGTTTTTTAATCAACCAACGTTGATGTTAACACATGCTGTGTTTCTATTGCTGACTTATGACAAGACTCTCCCCTGGTGAAATTTGAATCGATTCATTAAAATAGGAAACTTAACTTTTAGCAACACAAAGTATATGCACCCATTATTTCTCAACTTTGACTTTAGCTTCACAGGTCTGTTTCATTTTATGCAAGATTTTTAAGTAAAAGTTTTTCTTTTACTCGCAATTGTTCTTTTATTATTGCGAACTAAAAGTTTGTCAATAAGTATGCAGGAAATAACAAACAAACCTGACTTTCGCTTGTTCTCAGTAACGCCCGTTGTGGTGCTGGGAGTCGACTACTGGGCTAGGGCACTGTCAAAACAAAACAAATAAGATAATTGTCGTAAGATTTAGACTCGATATCTTATATCCGTTACCAGGAGTTGGTTGGCACGGTAAAATATTTCCAAATTAATTTACTATAACTCGTTGAGTATGTAAAAAAATGTTGTAGACCATTCAAAGCACCTAATTACAGACTGCTAATGTATAGAAAGGAAATACGAAAATCAAAAGAAATTTTCAAAAAGCATACACGTGCTCTAAGTAAACCGAAAGTGCTTTGTGCTTTGCATTATAGACAATTCCAGATGACTTGAATAGAATGCTAGGTTTGTTAAACATTTTGGGAAAAAATGATTTTTTAAGTTCTAAACAAATGTTTCAGAGCTACTGCAGTTTTTCCTTTTATTGGTGGTGCCGCCAGCTTATGGGAGCTTTTATTCTAATGTTTAATGCAACTTCTCACCTTTATTTTCTTAATTGTCCCATAATGTGTAATTGGTTTCAATAGTGAAAAGGCTTGGTGTCTGAAGACTTTTTTTTTTGTGAAGAAGCAGAAGCACAAATTATGCACGCGGACTTGAAGTTAACTCGTGTCACTTCTGGAAACTCTAATATAGGCAAATGTGAAAATCGAATCTCAACGTCTTTCTTCTTTCTCTACTGAGGAGATGATCTCATTGAAACTCTGAGATAGGACGCTCCACACTTTTCAAACGTCAGCTCCACCCTTTATCCTCCCCACCTGCTCTGAGCCTAAGGTCGCTTAAGCTTTGCCAAGAAATTCATTTGGGGAAAAAATGGTCAAATCCATATCGGATTCCACTCTCAACTTCATAACAGGCTTCTTCAACCGCGACAAGACAGCATTTAAATAACCTTTTGTTTGAATATGTATTCATTTTGGACCATTTAAAACTAAAGCAAACCACCCACTGGACAATAAAGACATTTTCTAAAATTCGTTTGAAATCATATTCGCTTGATACCCAGGTTTTGTAAAAGAACTATTAATTTCTTTGAGTGATTTCATCGCTATTCGGGTGTCATTCAATCGAATTCAAATCATTTAAAATTTGTAAAAAAGACTTCAAAACATGCTACATGCCTCCTTCACGTGGAAGGATAAATTTTGGGTAAGGCATAATCTGCAGAGTCAACAAAGTTTTTTTTCCATTCATCAGCCGCAGGCTACAATTGGGGCTGATGGGTCTTGAATATTGAGTCTTTAGACAGAAATTCTTTCTCGCCTGTGCATAACCACTAAGTGAAGGATACCCCCTTAGAAGGGTGTCTCTTGGTTTAGGCAGGAATAATGTTGACAGCATGACCTAAACTTACTTCCTCACAGACGTTCAGAGTCTCTTATATAGACAGCAACTTTAAGGCATTCCATCAGACCTAACGAAATACTATACTCATGTTCCAGGTTATTCACCATTTTAAGAAAAATTGCGAACAAAAAAATGATTGAAGTTAATAAAATAGTAATCCACACCAAAAACAAACCATCAAGTTTTCCACATTTGATGAAGTAAACTAAAAATTTCGAATCGTCATTAACAAAAAAAAAAAAAAAAAAAAAAAAAGAGCGAATTTAAATGTAGGAGTACCTAACAATTGTCTCTAGGACTTTGAGGAAAAGCATTACCGCATCGAAAATTGAACAGAAAACAAGCGAAGTCCACATTTCCCGCCCATGAAAAGAAAACATTGAACATTTCATATAAACGTTTTACAGCCCAAAAGAAAACACCTTGGTAGGTAATCAAACATTCATTCAGCAATGTCGTATTCTTAAATGAAGAAAGTAAACATTGAATCGTAACTTTTTACAATAAAAATAGTACCATGAGCTCTTACTCTTAAAAGGTTCGGAAAATTAAACCCAACGGCTCCTATAGCGTGACAGCTGAGTTGAATAGTTTCTGAAGTTGACTTGTTTGTGTTTCGGCTGATTAGCTTAGCTTATCACATTTTTACATAGTGCATACAAAAAAACCTTTATTACTCTTGTCATGGTAATTATTTTTTCTTTTTAAGGTCGGTTAAAGCTCAAAAGTTTTAACTGGTTCAAGGTGGGTACAAATTTGATCTTTAAGGAACAACAACAACGAAAAAAAGTTAAATAAACTGCAGAAAGCATACTAGTCGAATGCGGCTGGTAATAACCGCATCTGCCGATTTCGATAAGGTTCTGCCAAATTGTACAAAGAGTGACTAAAATAACAAAGCGAAAATTATCTTGTCAATATAACATACGAATATCGGTTATGGGGTTGTCTCAGAAACTTCGCGATGGCTCTTGAAACTAAAACATTTGTCGAAAGAAACCTCAGTTTAATCAGACGGTTTGGAACCCTTCTATTGACGCACGTAATACGTGTAATGCACCAGGGTCTGACACGCCATCTGTAGTCAGGAGGTGAAAGGAGAGTGCGTTATCCTAAATAATCTAAGCTGATGGTACATGATCGGCTCACTTCAATTTGTTGTCAAAGTTATAATCAGTCGAAGACGTTATTAATTTTACTATTGCCTGGGATTTCATTTCTAATGTAATATCTTTTTTCCTCACCTCGCTGGATTCCCCAATCGCCGGGCTATTGAACTGCTAGTCTCTTCGCACAAACTGTACTTGTAGAGACAAATGTCATCAACAGAAGTTGAGAACTTATCAACTGCCGATGAAGGTAATTATTTCAAATAGCTTGGACTTGACGCTGCTGGAAGCTTCTAAGGCTATTATGTACGAGGTGACTTTGCAACCTGCCAAGTATGGACCATCAGTTCAAAGAAAAGCTAATTTTGCAGTTAATTAAACACATCGACACGCACCCACCCGGCTTGTTTTACTCACAAGAATGGCTGTAAACGAACATCAACCCACACCGCCATGAACTAAATTCGCTAGATGGAATCATGAATATAATGAACCAAGCTCACTGCAGTTATGATCCGACGTTTAGATATCAAACATTGTTTTGTTTCATTGTTTTTATTGAGGAACATTTATGTTGACAGTTCTAAAAAGATTCATATGGTTTGGAAACTCTTTGTATTAGATTTAACTCTTTCACCGGACAGGACTCTGCAAATTATTGTTTTAATTGTTTTGTATTTAAGCTATGTTTGTGGCATATAAGGTATTGTTAAACAGCTTGCAAAACGGACAATTTCTTATCATATGCAGAATAATGAATTCAGCCATTGAACACAATAGATAGTGCAACAAGTTAAAAGGTTTTTGCTTTAGACAATTCCCACGTTTATTATTACAAACACATCTAACAGAACACTAGTGATAAAGCTTTCAGAAAAGCCAGATGTATAAAAAATGATTGTGACACCCTGTCTCATTAAGAATGATTAATTTTGTCCACGAAGGAGGAAAGATATTACCAAAATGAGAGATTACACTTCTTTATTTGTGTTAGAAAAGCAAACAGGTGTGCGCGCTTCATAAGTTATTAAAGGAGGCCCTAAGACTGAGCTCTCCGTTTCGTTTGTTAGTATTTGTGAGTGGGCATAAGAAGCTGGTACTGTACCGATAAGTGAGTAACTGAGGACAAATAAATAAAAGTTTCACCAATTTAACTCAGAATACAGAATATTCTTAAAACCTGGTGAAGGAAAAGTTAGCAACGTGCCAGCAAAGTTAACTTTTGTGGAAATTTAATCGCTTGCCGTGTATACTAACTCATTCAGCATCGACTTCATCGCCTGTGTGGTCTGGAGTCAATAGCACTTGTTCAGAAGAGCTGAGGAGTTAAAGCTGTCTGATCAGTACTGAGGTAGCCTATTTGCAGTCTGAGTAACCATCCGCTCTCGCGTTTGCTCGCTGGCCTCGGTACTAATTTTTTTGAGAAATTTGAAAATAAAGCAATTATGATGTTTTTTTTCGCTTTTGACAACATATCTAGAGAAGAACTGGTTTGTTATAATTGGCCTAAAAGAGCCTTAGCGCGCGTAATTCTGTCGACAAACACTAGCGCACCATCTGGCACGTAATGCAGGCTTTAATGAAATATATTTTTCTGAATAACAAATAACAGGAAGACTAAATCTTTATAAAAAGAAAAACACCGAGCCATGAAAAGATCTGCATGAATCACTCACCATTAATATTTTTTACTTCTGATTTTAACTAAACTCAGGATAAGATTTAATTACATCATCACGATAAAAGCAAACTAAATTCTAGGATTGCAACTCTACTTGCCAATTCCTACCTGTTTCGGTGCCGTTTTCTAGTTTCTTAAGCAACAATAATAGCAAAACTCGTCCCGCCTACTGGTGGAACAAGAAATGTTAAAAGTATGCATGTTCATCATTGGTTGGCTAAGCTATAATTCCTGGAGAATCACCGACCTTGATTAAAGCCGCATATTTAGCAATATAAATCCCGATAACAAACTTAAGTATATTATTATTCTCCAGATCATCATTTTTTTTTACCATTTAATCATTGTGAACTGCATTAATTTTTTATCTGGTTGCACTCATCAGATTGATGGGGAATTTAAGTTTCTATCTTTCAGTCACGACTAAACAATATAGTGTTAGCTCAATTCCAGAGTGTTGTCATACCATGGTTTTTGCTTTTGTACTTGTCACTGTATAAAAATAGCTAAGTAGCGTCTAACCTCACCTCTGCCCATTTTCCCTCTCAAACGATGAATCCACTCAAATTCTAACCCATGACATGACAAAACAATGATTGGACTTTCTGTCAAGTTCGTAATTTATGGGAATGCACCTCAGTACAAATAAATAGTTGTCAAAGAAGAGAAAACGGCTCATCGAAATTTTTTTGTAGTAATGAAGATGAATTGAACTGTTTAAATAAGAGTTAGAGCGACAGAGCGACTGATGTAAGGAAAAAGACTTGTTTATTAACGCTGGGTTCAGATCATTTTGTAGTTTGATAACTTAAAGGTAAGAGATTGAACAGAATACTTCACTTACTATAACTTGTCTAACTTTTCACACCTAATAACTCATCATTTATCACCTTGAGCTAAGAATGATATCCTGTTTGATTACAAGAAATATGTCAGGATAAAAGTATAAGATTTGTTTTCAGAACTCTAAATTCCTGTTAAAATTTGAACAATAGTGTAATTACTCGATGCTCTAAACAAAAATAATCGCTCTGCAAGCGAATGACCTCTCACGCGACAGGTGCAGTGTCTCCGTTAACTGACTAATTAAAACAGGTCACTAAAACTCCAAGTTGGATAAAAATACCTGATAAATTATGACTTAGATGTAGTTCAAAGCATTGGGAAACTTTTAGGGATCATATCTGGATATTTCATCAATTAAACATCAGCTACCAGTAAATCTATAACCAACCGGGATCATGACAAGTATTTTCCTATACCTTTCTGCAAAAGTTTTTGTGAACGGTATAGTTATCAAACATCCTGCCTGAATGAGCCAATAAGATTTTTTTTATGAAATCCTCCAGTGTATAGTCATTATAAATACTGACAAGGGGGAACAATTATAGGTTATGGCCTTCTTCGCCTCCTGATCCATACAATTTTAAACTGCTTTCTAGTAATTATAATAATGAATTTGAAACATCGGAGTTACTGTTACGAGTCAAATTATATATTTATTCCATTTTGATCGTAGTAATGTAGGTAATCTAAGGACATTCTTCTGTATTGGGTCAAACTTCGTAACAGTAGTCGCCCAGGGAGATTCAATGACATTTCACTGTGTTAGGCCAAACTTTGCCCAAGATTATACTACCCTTCAGAACGAAAAAATCCAGGGCGCGAATCCTCTCTTTTTCAGTCCTAAGAACCCAGAAGAATGCCCTAACACCGCAGCAGGCTTCACAACCCATATAATTTTTTTCCCTTGTTACAAGCGTATATTGAAAGCAATAACAACTATTAAGTTTTGAGATTTTAAAGATAGGCTTAACCGTTTCAAAATTGTCTATATTGTGCTAGGCAGCCTGGCTGCGCGCTTGTGACATCACCAAATCTCGATCCTCTTTTCAACCCTTGATAATCTGTTTTAACCATTAAGGGCCACACAAAAAGGAAAATTTGGGATTTAAATGATGATCATTTTTACGATAACAAGAACAGTAGCTGTATGTGAAGCACCTGTTGCGATTTTGCGTGCGCGGCTAAGTCACTGAAGTGTTTCTCAAAATGGAGGTGTCCACAGTCCAATTTTAGCCCATTAGAAGAAAATTGACTTCGGCTAGCTAATTCTCTGGAATCTTAAGACTGCGGAAAGAAGTTAAATTTTTAACACACTTTTCGGTTGCGGAGAAAAAAAGTTACTTGGTTTCTAGAGCATTTATCTCATGGAAACATGATAATCTAATAATCATGGTTCGTGCAAATTTATTAAGTGTACGCTTTGGCTGGAGAATCGTTAAAAACCTTTCTTGGGATAGACCAAACAGTCGTAAAAATCTTACAAAGCCGCAAACCAACGAAGTAGAGACTTTCGTTCGTCTTCATGTGTGTTAGTCTGAATAAATTGAAAAAGTTAAGTAGATATCTGTGGTCAGTTTTGAGGCATTGCTAGGGATACTTTTAGCAAAAGTGAAAGCCTTGGCTAAACGATCTTACGTTACCATCCAAAATCATTTTGGAACTTGCGGCTGATCAGCCACCTCTCTCGAAACTGCACTGAAATGGCCTCACGTGTTTGATCTAAATCAAACTTTTTCATTTTACAAATTGCTTCAAAAGCATAATGGTGTTTGATCATTTAGCGACCTCTAGAAACGAAGCAAACCAAACCGGGGAAAAACAAGCAACTAGAAACCAAACATGAGTAATTTAACGCAGGAAGGGTCTTGCGAGCTCATCTGCGTTCCATGTTTGATAAAATACTGATTATTTGCTCGTTTAGCCACCCCATTTCGTGTGCGACAAATACGGCGATGAACGATAATTTTGATTGTTTAGCCGGGGCGTAAATCTGTTCCCTGAAGGAAACCAACCTTAAGGTTTGACAAGAGTTTTTTTTGACGCCAGAGATATCATTTTTAACAACATCTGAGAAAATTGGAACTACAATGACTCTAACGATAATCTCACTGGCTCTTTAATGTCGTTAGCTCTGCTACTTGCTGGTTACCCTAGGCTGAATAGGAAAAAAGTAGCATAGCATTTGTTGGCTTACAACTATGAAAGATAACTTGACAGCTAAAACTATGGGAATTTACATTACGGAAACGTCTGTTGGGACCAATCTGTAGACTCCATCGTAAAGCATTCCCTTTCTTATACCGCAAGATTTCGGCCTTGATTTATCAGAAAATTAGTTTTTTTGCAGAAGGCGCTTAACTTGCGCCTCAATTTATTGTGTTTGAATGTGCACTTTTCAACATTTCAGTACGATTCCTCTCCCTAAACTTAAAGTCATAAAGGAGCTTTTCCGAAAATAAATTGGCGATTAATTAAAACAAGTTTAACGAGATTCACTGACAGTTAACTATAACTTTATATTGGTGCTCCGTGGCGAACGAATACCGACAGATTCTTGTACTTACTCGCTTTGCTCTTTCTCCTACTCTTTATTGAGTTTTTTCAATGGTAAGCATGTTCGCCTCTGCTCCAACCTTTTAATCCAAAGGTTTATAATTCTAATGAAGAAATTAATTCTCCGCTCCATTTCCCGCTATCCCTGGAAGAAGAGAGGTGTCATATAAATGTAACAGGAGGGTCTTCTGTTTTTCTTTTAACACTGCTTTTTCTACTAAGCTTCCTTCTTAATTCACCATTACTAAGCTCTTTTGAGGACGAGCTAGAAAACGTGTCTCCATGAGTGGCAAAAATGGATCCTCTAGGTAAGGTAAGCCTTCTAGATAATGTTCCTATCGTAGTGAGTGACTCTTCTCGAGTTCTTTCTAGCCGTCCACGCCATCGAGTAAAAAGTCTCTTGAAGGCCCTGCGATAGGTTTTGTTTAAGCAAGTGTACAAAATTGGATTTAAACAACTATTTACATATTCCAACCATTTGGCGCACTTGTGAACATCCAAAGGATAAAAGTTCTTGTTGTTGATGTAGCCAATGACTGACACAAAGAAAGGCGCCCAACAGAAAACGAACGCACCAATCACCACCGCTATTGTTTTCGCGGCTTTCACGTCTGTAGTGTAGTTCCTGTTACGACCGATTCGACGAGCCTGGCGTCTAGCTACAACATAAATTCTAGCGTACATCGCGATCATAAATAACAGCGGAAGTGCAAAGCTCGCTATGAACACCATATATTGATATCCACCGGTTCGTATCCAGTTTTTATCCAGGAGTCGCAGACTGGACACTACGACGGCATAAATCCATGCAAAACACAAAATAAGCAAAGCTCTTCGTGATGTCATTACATGAGGATATGAATATGGGGCAGTGATTGCCACGTGTCTATCAGCACTAACCGCTGCCAAGTTCATTATGGATGCTGTGCCAAAGAAAATATCCATGCATTGCCAAAAGAGATAAAGATCTCCCTGAATGACGGTCTTGTTTGATAAATCGGTAAGCTGCAATACTAACCAAAATGGCATCCCCAAAATTGCTACTAGTATATCGGATATTGCGAGACTTATGATAAAATAGTTACATATTGTTCGAAGGTCTCGGAATGTGTAGAAGCTTGCACATACGATTGCATTTCCAAATATAGTAAGTACTATCACGAGACCCACAGCAACTGCGCTAGTGATATTGACAGGATCTGTGACAAATAGCACGGGAGTTGTCGTGGCACTGTCATTTGAAATATTCATATCTAATGTTTAACCTAAGGAAAGAAAAAGCAGAAATCAACTTTAGTGGAAGTATTTCTCTCTATCCGTCTATCCATCCATGTATCCATCTCTCTACCTACAGTCGAACCTGTATTAAGCGGTCACTCACGGGGAATGGCGGGGTGACCCCTAAATACAGGTTGACCACTTAATACAGGTTCCAAGGAATAGGGGTTTTGCAAAAAAACGGTAAAAAAACGCCATTTTATACAATAACTGACCACTTACTGTACAAAACCTACCAGCATTGATTTCGGGAGATAAACATGAATTAAATATACTTGGGAGTTTCTTCTTTGAGTGGTCCTACTGATTCCGTTAAATACAGGTAGAAGACAGTACAAACATAGGTGGAAATTGCAATGTTTGAAGGAAAAGAATATCGGGACTTTGACAACCGATTGTTAAATACAGGGTGACCGCTCAATACGGTACCGCTTCATACAGGTTCGACTATATCTATCTATATTTCCATCTACCTACCTACCCCTCTATATCAATTAATAATTACAGATGATGATAACGACAATGTTATTAAAAGCTATTATCAGGTTCATAAGAAGGCCCCTCTTGTTCTTAAGAATGAATCAAAATATTTAGAGACGTACTTCATTATTTTATAGGGAACATTTTTAACCCAAGAACAGCCCAACTGCAAAAATTATTAGAGGTTGCTACTATCTAAAGCAACTGAATCATTCACGTAAGAAAGAAAGTAAGAAAATAACATTTGGATGGCGAACCCTGCAGAAACTCTTCTATTTTGTCTGTCTAATTTGTAAGAAAAGATTTGCTAAGAATAAGGGTTTTCAACATCTGTGGAATACATTGATAAGCCTTTTCTTTGGTTGACCTAGTGATGAAATATCAAAGATGATAACAAGAGTGAAACTAAAATTTCGACAAGCTAATAAGCGAAGCACAGAGCGTGAAATAAATAGAAACAAATTATTTCAGCTTAAAAGTATAAAATTCTATTCAAGGTCAACATAAAAAGGGACTAAATAGTTCTAAAAAAAATGTAATGGTTGTTTGTGGCATTTTTCTTTAGGTGATAAGTAGATCTTGTTGGTATGGTGCATATCTGACTGTTTCAGTTGACTGTTTTAGTTCGCCTGTAATATTTTGACAGAGCTGCTCACTTACGAGGATATAGGTTGATTGCAGCTTTAACGTTGCGATTATAAAGCGGCGCAGTACTTCTCTTCATCTAAACAACAATGAGCGCTTTATGTGTCAATCTGTAGTTTGCAGCAGGCTTACTACATCACTACAACTGCTTTCTGGTTGAAAGGCATCACACTCTTAGAACGCAAGTATTATGTTCTCCGGTGAAATCAATTCGCTTTGAAATTCGAAGGTAAACAGACAAAACCTACCATTCCTGATAATTCGTGATCGAAATTCGCCACTCATGTTGAGTCTTGTTAATGTAAAACTCCTGGAGCACTGATCGTATTGAAACTATGTGTGGGATCTTTATTTGAATGAGAATGATAGATAAGTGATTACCATGACGATCCTAGCTCGCACTGCTTGAGTGTTTGTTTGTTGGTTTTTTTTCATAAAGTATCGTTATAGAGCATACAAAACGATGCACACTAACTTCCATGAAAGAAACAGAATCACTCAGACTCATCTGGTCTGTTTGCCTTAAGAGTAAGATAATTTGTAGGGGCGATACAAAATGTCAGGTTCAAAAGCATTACAAATTTAAATGGATGGAGACTGACATGATCTCAAAAACAAACCGTCTTTGTATTAAAGAAAGCTGTTAACATGATGTACACTGTATAAATGTTACAAAGCAGCAATACGTATATCAGAACATTAGGTGCAATAAGAAGATTACAAAAGATTGTGGGCAACAAAAAGGGCTTACCTACTTTAGTTTGTGCTAGCACGAACTTTCCTGGTCTGAAAGCAAATTAAACGAAATTTACGCTTGATCGAAGTAGACGCGTGATGTGTCCATAGAAAAACAGGAACGTGGGCGAGCGCTGTCATTTACAATGGAATGTGGCAAGATCTCTCAAGGCTGACCAGAAATCAGGAGACTAAATTCTCAGCATGATTTGAAATGTAAGCAAGAGGCAAAGCTAACTAATATGTCGAACATTGATCAGTCAATTTAAGATTACCAACAAATCAAGTACATTTGTTATTGTATGTCTATTTCGTGATTTCGGAATGTATTTGTATTACAAGGGTTAATTAAATGCTTCTGTCAGAGGAGAGACGGCAAATTGGCAGCAACAAGAAGTTCATGTACTGGCAAGACAAGAAATCGCAGAAACTTTTCAGTTTTTTTCGGAAAAAGGAATAACCACCAAAAACATTCCACTTCATCTAACAAGCAACGAGACGCAGCGTGATGATAAAAAAAAATTTCAAACCTAGGGTGAGGACTTAGAATCAGCCAACATACTGAGTCACATTGCATGAATGCTGACACAAGAGAGTGAGAGCCTAAAGGAATCCAATGCTGGCTGAACCAGGCCCCTGGATTTAGATGTTTCTGTGCCTCAACGAATCAACCACACCAATCTTATTTCGGCTGTCATGCAGCGGGGTCAGGTGCAGCGTGCCTTTCATTTAAAACGATTTTCTTATTGTACTGGCTATCTCTGCAACATTGTAGTCACTTCAAACTTATGGAAACCATTCAAGGAATTAGAAACGAAAATAAGTAAAAACCGTCAAAGATCAAATTGTTCTAAGAAAATCGAAACAAAATGCTTTGGAGTGGAACATGTTTGTTCCCATGCAAATTTATAATACACATTGAGAAACGTTGGCGACAACTGCAGATTTCATATTATTGTGCAAAAAAGATAAAACAATTAAGTGTCAATAATTTCAGGGAGTTTCAAAATCTTAATTTTTTTAGACTTGGTCATGACTTCCTCAGAGGACAGTTTCTTTCATCGCTCTCTAGACGATCTTCACTCTATGTATTGCTTATTCGCCCAGGGAATGTATGTTACGGCAAATATTTTCAAGTTTTGAAAAGCGCACGCATTTTAATAGCCATTGCATCTGCAGTAAGTAAATTGGAATGATGATCAAGAAAATAGCCTTTTTAGTCAGTGGTTGAATAGTTTTAAGGTGACCCTGACCACAAAAGACCCTGACTCTGATTACATTCAGGGGATATTTGTGTATCAGCATATCTCCACTCACCTATTTGTGGCCTGTCTATAGGAGCATAGGATACTGCTATTTTTTTGTTCTTCCACGCTTATACGTATTTCTCAGGTTATGCTACACTGAGAATGTGTAGTCGGTAATTCTTGTTGATAGAACACAGTTCTGGTTTTGATTAAAAAGGACTGTAATCTTACTCTGAACGAATTTGCAATTTTTGCGGAATATAACCTCCTTCTTGAGATTGAGAACGTATTACAAATAAACTCCTGATTTCAAAATAATTCTGTGTCGATTAACAAAGCAATTTGACTTTCCATATATTTTTATCAAGCTGTGCCGTGAAAAACATACGATTCCCCGCTGTTTTTCAATTAACCCAATTCAATTTCAATGAAAATGTTGTAGAGTTCCATGAAATTTCATCCTCGAGAGATGGTGTTAAAAAACAATAAAAAATGTTTCCACACAATAAAGATTGTTTTTAAAGTTAACAGTATAAGCTTTTGAATAGGCTTTCTATTTATTTTGAATGAAATTCGAATACGTGGTCACACTATTCCGACATGCTGCGATAGTCCAATCCTTCCCTGCGGCGAAATGATGGAGAAATAGAATTCGCCTCTTTGGAACAGGTTTTTAATCATAGAAACACGCAAATCAATGGTGATAGTAAAATCAAATGTAAAAGTAAAACAAAGCAGCAGTAAGTTGTTAATCTATGTTGTTGTTTGAGCCGAATTTAACACCTAAATCTCATTCTGTCGTTAATTGTAGACTGGAATTAGTATTCATGTTATTCGCATAGATTCTCCAGGCAACTGGAGTTTTTCACAGAACGCACCGGGGTTGCTTCAATATTTAATAGACAATCTTAAGTGTGTGTAGGTAAAAGGGTATTACTGATTTTGATAATCAAATAAATGTAGAATCATCAAGAACAGAAATTCATCAGCCGAGGGAAATTCCCGGTGGGGTGCAAAATTTGACGCATTTTCAATTCCATTTCGCGTCCATGTATTATCTTATGTGGTTGTGTTTTTTTGTGAAAACTCCATTTATAAGAAAGAAGATTTTTTTTAACTCTGGTTGAAGTTCAAATAAAAGTAGGTGTGTTTGGGATCATAGGAAAATCTTTATCAGGAGTCACCATCATGAAATAAACTAAATAGTGACTCCATCAGATGGAGAGTGAGTCAAGCAGGAGAATAATTGACATACATACATGTACATCTTTCATCCGTCTCGCCTATAATTTAAGGTCAAAGTTACCTCAGGCTTCTCTTCTCGTTTTCATGAAAAATTGATATATCCTTCAACGTGCCAAGCAGCGAGGGACTGGTTATTGGATGGTTAGTATGGATTGAATGTTAATTAGATTATTACTATCCCTTTAGCTGTTTTTATGCTACTGTTTATAGTGGCGTTACTATTTCAGAACACGTAGAGATTTGGGAGAAATATCTTGTTTCGTGCAGAAAATGCTGCACGGGGAATTCTTGCAGGTCTAAAATAGCCGATGATTTTTTTCGTCCAGTGGCGTCCTAACCTTTAAATTTTTCTCGCTCCAATATCAACGTTTGCTCGTATTAATAATAGTTCGCCAATTAATGTGTACTCAGTACAGAAGTACAAATGATTTTTAAAAGGGGCAGTTTTAGATCCTGCTTATTCTATGCTAGTGGTGGCTTTAATACCCATTCGAGAATTATAAACATCGTTTGTTACTCGTTGCACATATGGGATACTTTGCGAACACAGCCTAAGCCTGCACCATGGGAAGGAGGAGAGGAAAGCCATCTGGTTGACGAGTTTGGCTTGAATTAGATTTC